CACACTTTTGTCAAATAGCACTATTTAAGGGTATTTTGAGAAGGAAAAAGATATAAGGAGAAGTGCATCATTGACACTTGAGTGTGGCAACAGGATATGATTTGTAAAAGAAAAATTAAATTATGATTGTTAAAAGAACTGAATTGCAGCGTAAGTAAAAATAAGCCCGTCTATGAATCAATTGAGTCACAACACATGTGATTTCTCAGGCATGAAGAATGCAATTGCTTAAGACTCTGAATATCCCAAGCAAACAAGTCCTTACCACTAAATTGATTTCTACTGAAAGCGACCCTATAGGGCAAAATAGAACTACCTACCCCATAGAATATTCAACATTATAATCTATATGGAAACAGATTTCCCTACTTTCTTTCACAGAGTGGCTCAGGGGCTTGAGCTGCTGACTTTTCAAGAAGCAGCTGAGAGCTTAACCACTACAGTTTCTTTTACAAATGATTCAAATCAAACCAAACTTCTTGCTACTGAAATGATTCCAACTCATGGAGATATTCCATTGGGTTCTTAAGGTTGTAAATAGCTTTCTTTTAAAATTTTATTATTAATGATGGTATACCAATTGACATATTTCAGCTAACAGATGCTGCCCTGGATGTGCTCACCAAGTTGTGCCAAGAAATCTGGAGAACAACCACTTGGCCAACTGACTGGAAGAGATCTATATTTGTTTCCATTCCAAAAAAGGGTGACCCAACTGAGTGTGAGAACTACAGAACAGTTTCATTGATTTCACATGCAAGCAAGAGTCTACTGAAGATTATACAAAAACCACTGGAACGGTACATCAGCAGAGAACTGCCAGAAGTCCAGGCTGGGTTTAGAAGGGGTCGTGGTACTAGGGATATTGTAGCTGATGGTAGATGGATCTTAGCTGAAAGCAGAGAATACCAGAAGAATGTCTATCTGTGTTTCATTGATTATGCAAAGGCATTTGACTGTGTGGATCATAACAAACTGGCTGACTCTGAGAAGAATGGGAATCCTATCTTCATACCTTTTCAACCTGTATGCAAAGCAGATTATCCGAGAGGCTGGGCTCTATGGGGAGAGGTGTAGTGTTAGGATTGGTGGAAGATCTATCAACAATTTGCATTATGCAGATGACACAACCCTGCTCGCTGAAACTGAGGAGGACCTCATGCACGTACTGCAGAGGGCGAAGGACTGAAGCCTTCAGTATGGACTGAGGCTTAATGTCAAGAAGACAAAGATTCTCACCACTGGACCAATTGGTAGCATCAGGATGGATGGCGAAGAGATTGAGATTGTTCATAGCTTCAGTTTGCTCGGCTCTACGGTCAACACTCTTGGTGCCAGCAGCCAGGAAAGCGATGGGAAAGTCTGCGGTTAGGGACCTCTGTAAAGTACTCAAGAGCAACGGTGTCTCTCTGGAGACTAAAGTGCGCCTGCTATAGGCCATGGTCTTTGCAATCACTTGTTATACATCCAAAAGTTGGACAATGACTAGGGAGGATAGAAGAAGAATTGATGCCTTTGAGCTGTGGTACTAGAGAAGCGTATTGAATGTACCATTGACTGCCAAGAAAACAAAGAGATTCATCCTCGAGAGGGTTACACCAGGCTCCTCCTTGGAGGCAAGGATTCTGGGGCTTCATCTGACATACTTTGGACATGTTGTAAGGAGAGACAGGTCCTTGGAGAGGGTCATCATGCTTGGTAGGGTAGAGGGACAGCACAGGACGGGAAGACCCTCTATGAGGTGGATTGATTCAGTGACAGGGGTAATCGGGATGGGTGTGTCAGACGCAATGCGATTGGCACAGGATAGAGCAGGGTTTAGGGCTGTTGTACATAGCGTCGCTATGAGTTGCAAGCAACTCGACAGCACATAACAACAACAACAAACAACATTATGATGATGATGATGAAAATGAAAGCTTATAGATTGCTCTTTTCATTAATTTATACACATTTTATAACATTAATTACAATACTCACAATGTAATTACACTTTCCCCACTTTGTCCTTATCATTGTCATTTTCATTACTCTTTCAAGCCCATCCTATCCCTGCCTGTCTAAGTTGAACATCTCAATGGGAGGAAGTTATTTCATCTTTTTCCCCAAATAGTGGCTGGTAAGTTTAAACTGCTGACCTGTTTGATCTATTTTGTCTCCTGAATTTTATTTCTCTAAGCAGAAAAAAAGTGTCTTTTTCTAGAAAACTAGAAGAGTTTTCTTAGACTAGAACCTAATACATAACTTTGAACCAGACAGGTTTGGAAGCAAGTGTGGCATCCACTTTTTAAACAACATGCCTCTGGAAACTCTATGAACTTCGATAAATGTCGATAGTTATAGAAAGGCTTCAGGCTTTTTGTTCATAGGGTTGCTATGAGTCATGCTAGACTCATAGACAATTAACAACAACAAAAACAACAACATGCAATTATTTATCAAAGATACAAAAGAAAATGCCCACAATCCTGAATCTTTCTGTGTTTACTTTTTGAAACATAACAAGAAAAGTAATATACTTCAAGTGTTCCAAGATAATGGCTGGTATGATGAAAAAATATTACAAAATCATTAGAGTGAATAGAAATATTATACCCACATATAGCTACTATAAAACTACTCATACAAAGAAAAATAACCAAAAATAAAAATAGAACTTAAGTACATGAGTTAAATTTCAAAATAATTCTATATATGTTAGCAGTAGAAATGATGAACTGGAAATAAGTAAAGGGAAATTATTTACCTTTGTATATAGACCACTTAGGTTATATTTACACAATATAATTATAAAACAATGAGTATAATGAGTCCCTGCCTTTGGCACACGTGTCTATCCACTTATTTCCCTGATCCATCATCCACCAGGATATCCATCCACTTTTACCCACTCCCTTCACATCTATCTCTCATTGACCAGCCCTTGATCTGATAGCTTATGTCTGAAGCTTCCTTGACTTCTGTGATTCCAAACACTTCAGCTGCTGATAGTTTATGTTGTGACCAGTGTCTCTGAAATTTAGTGGTAATGTTTGCCAAGCGAAGGTGATGTGTCCTGTAGAACTGGTGTGTAGATAGGTTTTTCTTGGCCCGAGGACTACAGGCCCGAGGGCCCAAACAGGTTCTGCATGGTTTTGGTGTCTTCAATGTTACCTGATGAACAGTTTCCATGTGGTTTTGGAGTCTTCAATGTTACCTGGGAAATGGGCGGGGAGTTTTATGGACCCTTTAGCTGCCCAACTTCTCTGCCAGTCAAGGCTTCTTTATGTCCCCTCTACGCAACCTGAGGAATGGATTCCGCATGGTTTTGGTGTCTTCATTGTTACCTGAGGAACGGATTCCATGGAGAAATTAAAAGGCGCAATGCCATGGGAAAGTCTGCTGTTCGGGACCTCTCCAAAGTACTGAAGAGCAATGGTGTCTCTCTGGAGACTAAGGTGCGCCTGCTACAGGCCATGGTCAATCACTTGTTATGCATCAGAGAGTTGGACAATGACCAAGGAGGACAGAAGGAGAACTGATGCCTTTGAGCTGTGGTGCTGGAGCAGAGTATTGAGAGTACCATGGACTGCTAGGAAAACAAACAGATTCATCCTGGAAAGGGTTAAACCAGGTGGCTCCTTGGAGGCAAGGATTCTGAGGCTCCGTCTAACATACTTTGGACATGTTGTAAGGAGAGACTGGTCCTTGGAGAAGGACATCATGCTTAGGAGGGTGGAGGGATAGCGCAGGAAGGGAAGTCCCTCTATGAGGTGGATTGATTCCGTGACTGGGGTAATCGGGATGGGAGTGTCAGAGACAGTGTGGTTGACACAGGACAGAGCAGAGTTTAGGGCTGTTGTACACAGGGTCACTATGAGTCGCAAGCAACTCGACAGCACATAACAAAAACAACAACTTAATGAGTTAGCAATAAAACAATCATTACCGTCACATAGCGTAAGTGTAGGCATCACTGTTTTCTCCCATGGTAAACTTTTGATGGCACTTTGACAGGATGTCTTTCCATCATATATGAGGTGTAACATTGGCCAAAAGAAAATTTCCTTGGTTTCAGTACTAACAATCCCTCATTGGTCAGGGGCTCTAACAACCTCCATATTAAGAGAGCACCTGGAATGGAGTTGTTCTGACTCAAGGACTGTGAATTTCTCTGCCAATTCTTAAGGTGGTTTGGCTATACTTCATAGATACATCCAGACTAGCATTTTTTATGATGATGTGGCCTTATTCAGTAATAGAAACAACATGTAGACTTATCCATAAACGCTCCTACATTCATTTCCTCTAGCACTTAACAAAGTTAGATAAACTTCCTCCAACTCCTCCACTTCCTCCCCCCTCCCCATATGTTACAGCTGAGTTTGAAAAATTCACAAATATCCAATAGGCATTAAGCTTCAAAATTCACTAATAGTCATCAACAAAAGATTGTCTTTTTTTACCAAAATTATGTAGAAAAAATTTCAATCTCTTAAATACACTGGGTTTCCTGCATATTACATCTATATATGAATCAACAAGGGCTTGACATACATCAAGTGAATGGAAGTGTGACGTTTACCTAGCCCTAATTTTCCCCTCTGAAAAGGAATGGGAACTATAATATAAGTTTCCAAGTGAATAAATTCATATGGGCAGGAGGATAATCTTTACCCACCTGTCCAGGCTGAGCACAAATTGAAATGCATGGCTTCTTAGCTCCGTGAGGAGTAAAAGAAAAACAAACAAACAAACAAAACCTAAAAGCTTCCTTCAAAAATATACAAAAACCAAATGATTTATAAACTAAAAAAGGATTGAAGGGTAATGTAAAAATTATAGGATGATTCCGTGTAACTTGTGTATATAAAAAACTACAATCAGAAGCCAGACTAATGGAATCATTGCAATTGCTCAAGTCCAGCTTGGATGCAAGAGGCAGTGAGCTCAAGAGAAAGATCTATGCAACAAATGATATTTTAAAGTATCCTGTCTGTATAGCTCATAAAGATCCCTACCTTTATGGAAGAACTCTTCCAACTTGTCCTTGAAAGGCTGGAGATATTCCTTTGGAGACTCCTTGCATACTACCATCATCTGCTTCTCACTTGCTGTGAAGGGGGGAAAAATCAGATCTAGATTAGTTAAGAACACCAATTTGTTGGGTTCCTGCTAGAAAACAGGCATTGTACTTAGCACCTGGCACATCAACTGTGCAGAGCCCTTATCAATATTCATCTACATTCCAGAAAGAAAGCACAAAATCAGAAACTGGAACAATGAGCAAATACATTTAGGAAAACAGAAATAGTTCACTCTACAATGCACTTTCATTGTTGTTGTTAGGTACCTATGAGCTGACTCTGATTCAAAATGACCTTCTGAACAATATACCAGAATCTTGTCCCAACCTGTACCATGGGGCAAGACTACTGTTCCAGTCACTCTGTCAATATAGCTTATTGAGGGTTTTCCTCTCTTTTGCTCATCTATATTTCCAAGCATGACATCCTTTTCCAAGGACTGGCCTTTCCTGACAAAATGCCTGAAGTATATAAGATGAAATTCCACTATCTATGTCTAAGGAACACTCAGTGAACTTCTTCCAAAACAGAGTTGTTTGTTCTTTTGGCAGTTCATGCGATGTTCCAAAATCTTTCAACACCACAATTCAAAAGCACCATTTTTTTCTCTGGTATTCCTTATGTATTGTTTAATTTTCCCATGCTTATAAAGTAACTAAAACTACTATGGCTTAGATTAGGTGCACACTAGTCTTTAAACAGACATCCTTGCACTTTAACATTTTTATTTTCTCCACGCCACATGTCTTTGATTTCTTGTCTACGCTTAACATGGGTATTCATTGTGGACAGTCACTTGAGAAACAGGAAATGATTTTTTTCTTTTTCTTTTGTAGAGATACAAAACCTCTGGCTCAAGACAGGTAACATGTACTGTTACATTGTTGTTTTTGTTTTGTAGATGCCAACGAGTCCACTCATAGGGACTCTTATGAACCTTGCCGAAACCTGTGTCACCCTCAAGATCTCTGATACGCTCAAATCCACTGTTACAGTCAATATATCACTCAGTCTTGTTACAGGTCTTCAGCTCTTCCTCTGGCCATCTACCTTTCCCAGTACGGTGCCCTTTTTAAGGATTGGATCCTTCTGATAATATGCCCAACAAATGAGATGTAGTGTCACTGTCTTTGCCTCTAAGGAGTTCCATGACTGTACTTTATCCAAGATAGACTTGTCTGTTCTTTCGGCAGTCCCTGGGATATTCAATATTATTTCCCAACACTACAACTCAAAGGTATCACTTTTTCTATCTTCCTTATTTACTATCCAACTTTTGTATTCATAGGAAGTAAAAAGATCATGGCTTGAACCAGGCTCACCTTAGTCTTTGAGCTGATATAATTTCTCCTTAGGATATGGCAGCATATTTCTCCAATGTAACACTTTTAAACATTTTTTTTTATTTTTTAACTGCTGGCACCATAAGTATTGATTGTAGGTCTAAGTAAAATGAAATCATTGACCACTTCAATCTTTTCTCTGTCTATCATGATGTTGCCTATTGGCCCAGTGGTTAGGACTTCTGTTTTATGTTGAGATGAACCCATTTTGATGGCTGTAGTTTTGCTCTTTTGCAGCAAGCACTTCTGTCCTCTTCACTTTCAGCAAGATTGTGTCAGCTGTGTAACATAAGTAGTTCATGAGCCTTCCTCCAATCCTGATGCCATCATCTGCTTCATACAGCCCAGGCCAGGAATGATTTGCTCAGTATGTAGATTGGCTAGGTATGGAGAGAGGATACAACCCTGATGCACACCTTTCTTGATTTTAAACCATGTGGTAGTACTTCTTTGTTTTGTTCAGACAACAGCTTCATGGTCTAGGCATAATTAAATGTTCATGCATTTCCATTTCTCAATGTTATCCATAAATTCTTTTTGGTACAATGACTCTGTATATTCTTTCCATCTGCTTTTAACGCTTCTTGAATCATTGACTATTCTGCCAATAGCAGAATTCTTAAGGATTGCAATTTGTGACTTGAATTTATTCTTTAGTTCTTCCAGCTTAAGAAATGCTGAGTGAGTTCAGCCCTTTTGATTTTCTAACTTCAGCTCCTTGCACATCTCATTGTAATATTTTGCCTTGTCTTGTCTTCCTGAGCAGCCCTATGAAATCTTCCATTCAGCTCCTTAACTTCTTGATTTTTTCCCTTTGTGTTGGCTTCTTGGCCCTTTCGTGCAATATTCAGAGTCTCTTCTGACACCCATTTTGGTCTTTTCTTCTTCTTTCTTCTTAGTAATGACTTTTTGCTTTCTTCATGAAAGATATTCTTGATAACTTTCCATAGCTTATCTGGTTTTATCTGGTTATTGAAGAGTCTTCTTCTAATCCTGATGCCACATTCTTCTTCAGAAAGTCCAGCTTTTCTAATGATATTTTCAGCTTGTAGATTGAAAAGGTTTGGAGAAAGGATACACCCCTTAGGCACTCCTTTCTTGATTTTGACTATGTAGTGTTCTCTTACTCTCTACCAGCTGCTCCCTAGAAGAAAGATGGGCATTCTCCTCCCATGCAATTTACTGCCTCTGAAAATCCACTGGAGGGTAAGCTATTCATTGGTTCAAGCTCTATGGTATACCATAAAAACAATAATTACAAAATTACTATAGCCTTCCCCAGAACTGTATATGGGTAGAATTACTTCATGCATGTCTCAGGAAACTGTCTCAGATTCACACCAAAAGAAGCTTGAAATAGTTTTGTAAAAGTTTTCAGGCACTTAGGTATTATGGGATGGCCAAATGCCAACCCTTCAGGATTACTAATGCTTCAGCGTAAGAACTGAAGACAGGTTAATTAGCTAACCATCTTTCATATGACTCTTACCACTGAGCCAACTGGCAGCACCATGATAGATGGAAAAGAGATTGAGGTTGCTAATAAAAGTTACAGCTTGCTCATCTCCACAATCAACACTTGTTACTGGCAGTCAGAAAATCAAAACATGAATTACATTAGGCAAATCTGCTGTCAGGGACCTCTCCAGAGCACTGAGAAGCAATGATATCAGTCTAGAGATTCAGGTGTGCCTGATCCAGCCGATGATCTTTGCAATTATTTGCTATGCATCAGAGAGCTGGATAATGGTCAAAGATAACAGAAGAATTGATGCCTTTGAGATGTGGTACTGGAAAAGTCTTGGAACATACCATGAACCACCAAGAAAATGAACAGGCCTATTTTGCAAAGACTGAGGGAAACCAAGTTTCTCCTTGGAGGGTAGGATTTTGAAGCTCTTTCTGACATACTTTAGGCATGTGGCCAGGAGGGACCAAATTCTTGGAGAAGGACATCATGCTTGGAAGGGTGGAGGGATAGTACAGGAGAGGAAGACTAGATGAGGGTAGGTGTATTAGAGTCAGTGAGACTGACTCAGGACAGGGAAGGCTTCAGAGCTATTGTATATAGAGGGTCACTATGAGTCACAAGCAACTTGACGGCATGTAACAACAAGAAGAACGACTCCAACTCAGAAAGCTATAATGGCCTAGAGGTAAGGAGCTGCAATCCCGGAAGCACACAGTTCATATCTATCAGCTCTGTGGGAGAAAGATGGACAATCTCCTCCACTGCGATTAAACTGCCTCTGAAAACCTGCTGGAGAGTCAGCCATGGGTCAGTTGTGACTTGATGGTAAACAACTCTTAATTCATGGTGATCCTATAGGTCAGAGTAGAAAAGTACTCCACATGCTTTATCACCAGGCCTTTCTTCCCAGACACTTCTTGGGGGGGGGGGGGTCCTGTCCTTCCATTCTGTCAGCTGGCAGTCACACACATTCAATATTTTTTACCATTCACAGACTCTTGGGGTAGTTTAGGAAAGCCATATATGTTCTTTACGTTTCTCATCCACCTAATCTTCTAATTTGAAATTTATCAATATACTTGAAAAAATTTCATATATGCTTTATTTCAGATAGAATACCTGAAAATTGTGAAAGTATTGCTTTTTTGATAATCAAGCCATTTCAAATTAAATAGTTCTGATTTGATTTCACAAAAGGTATCATAATTCGTTGACTGCCATCACAAAGGCAGTTCACTAAGGTAAGAAATGTAGATGGTTTGTACTTTACCCGGTTATGAGATTTTGCAAATGTTTCAGCCACAGAAGCCCTAAGGAGTTGGGGGGTTGGGAAGGGCAGGTTTATTCTTGTCACATGATATTGTTTTAGGAAGCTCTGGTGGCCTAGGGGTAAGTAGCGTTATGAACCAGGATGGACTATTGACTCAATGACAGCTAACAACCACTACCATCTTACAGAAGAAATAGAAGTCCTATCTTGGAACTGATAAGAAATAAACCGCTCAAACATCAATTATAATTTAAAAGAATTTTTTTCTTTAATAACCTTATGTGTCCTCTCTGCAAATAACTGCTTTCCTATTATCAACTTCCCTTCTCCTTTTCTCAGTAAATGGACCTATGGTCTAATAGGAAATATCCCTTTCCCACCACTTGTCTCTTAAATTAGCTCTGCTTTTGACTAGAGTGGGAACAGAGAAAAGACCATAATCGTAACTAACAACCTGCTATCACAATAAAATGGTTTAAGATTCTTTTCATTATAAAACCAACATTTACCTGTCATTGATTAAATGAAAGAATTTAGAGCTAATTAAAAAATCTTGCATGCTTTAGTTAGGTATATTCATTTGAAATGAACATACATTTAAAAAGCAGTAAATATTTTACCTAGGATATGTTATATATCTCAATTTAACTCATTTTTATAAAGATATTTCTAAGATTTAGTACTAATTTATCTTAAAGGTATCTATTTTGTTATATATAACTTTTTAGATTCAGAAAATGTATTATTTCAGTTATTTTTTTTTATTTACACTTTTTCCATTTCACTTTTTACTATTTTTGACAAAAAGAAGTGCTACTTACTTTATCTGTTTACCTCATATTCAATGGTGCTTAATTTTGTTATCAGCCCTCATATTTTTATTTGTCCTATCCAGATATACATTTTGTCTTTAGTTATTATATATCTAAAATCTGTTGTTCAT